GTGCGCAGACTAGAAAGCCCCCATGCAAAGTTGTGGGCACTCTGTCTAAGTTGGGGTCAGCCACAGATGAACAGTTCTGACGGACTTTGATGGGCAGGGAATGGGAGTCAGATTCCAAGAAGGTATCAATAGTGCCCAAGTGAAAAAGAACCTAGTAAGGGAGGGGGTGGGTGGGGGGCCCAGGCTCACATGGGGGGCTCAGGGGTGGGAAGCATCGGCTCCTGAGCAGATCATGAGGGTCAGCTTTAACATCCCCAGCCTGGGGTTCTGTGGGCTGAGGCTGTAACATTTGTCTCCTCATAGCGCCTTTTTTGGGGAACCCATCCTTCCCTCACCGCGCCCTCCTCCTGCCCAGGCCGTGTGTCCTGGGCGGGTCTCACCGAGCTCCTGGCCCAATGACGTCCTGGTCACACCACACCATTCTCCTGGCTGTGCTCAGTGGTTCAAACTCAGATATGTGATACAAGCAGCCTGATTAGAGACTCCCCTTGAGTTTGTGCCAAAAATATCAGAAAAGACACTCATTTTTTTTCCAGGAGTGTGAGCAGTGGAAACCACTTAAGTCTGAAGCTGCCTGGGACTGTCTTTCCCCCTCTCTGAATGAAGGCGTGCTAGAGAATGCAGTCAGCCCGGAGAAAAGAAGAGCTAACAGATGAAGAATGATCATTTCGGTGCCTGGATTCAGCTGTGCCTGAAGCTCAAGAGATTTGCTGTATCCACTAAAAGTTGTTTTTTTCTTGAGCTAGTTTGGAGTTGGGTTTTTGTCAGGTACTAGTGACTGCAACCTGAATAGGGGAAGTTTTTGTGGCAAAACTGAAACCATATTCCCCCAGGGATACAGCAACACCACTGCAGGATCACCCCCCTCGTAAGAGAACAAGATGTGGAGTGGGGGAGATGCATCTCAGAGAGGTGCAGATGCAGAGGCCCTGGTGAGAACACTGGGTGGCTGACTCTGCCTTGCCTACCCTCTGTCCCCAAGGCCTAGCAGACTCAGTCCTGACATGCCACAGGTCCACAAGGGGGACTTCCAGTCCCCATGTGATCAGCAATGCCCATGTGCCATTCAGGTGGTTGTAGAGGGTCAGAGGCATTCGATGGCAGCACGGTCACAGGGTGGCGAGTGGGTGGCACTTATCCACGTGCAAACTCAATGAGAGCGTTGAGGAAGACAGTGAGTACAGCCGGGCTGTGGTGAGAATTAAGCAGGAGACAAGCCTCTGGGGGTCCCAGATAAAGAGAAGACTGGGTCTGCCATCCACAAGGGGGACTATTGTTCAATAGGCTTTAGGGACAGATGGGAAGCCAAGTGCCTAGGAGCGACGCCACCAGGGAACTGGCTGTATGCAGACTGCGGGGGTCAAGGCAGGTCCCCTGCACCCCACTCGCTAGGCCTGGGGCCCAGGTTAGAGAGACTTCATAAATGATCTGCTGAGCTTGTCATTCTTTTCGCTGTCAGAAATGGGTTTCATAGGCTGGCATGAGTTGTTTCTCGGGAGTCTGAGAGAACTTACTGCCCAAATGGTCTCCAGAGACTTTGGGGAAGGTGATTCTTTGATAAGGTTCTCCAATTCTTTTCACTTATGGGCACATATGGGTTTTCTTCCTTCTTTTTTTTTTGAGTCTCCTTCTTTTGTTTAATAATTTGAACTATAGCTTTCAAAAAGTCTTAAACATCTATTTGCATATTTGTATGAGAATTGTAATTCTTATAATTTTACATTTTCATCTATGTTTATCCTATCAACCTGCTAATTAGATTTGTCTTTCTTTTCTTTTATTAAATTTGGAATAGGTCTAGCCATTTCAATGCTTGCTTTCTATTTTTAAGAGAATCTACTTGTGGATTTACTTATCAATTTTACAGCTTTCAAATTCATTAAATTCAACTCTCATCTTTATTATGTCTTTCCTATTTCCTTCTTCTGGCTTTGCTTTAGTCTGTTTCTGTTTTTAAGTTCTTTTCCTGGAATTCTGAGTTGAAATATTCGATCAGTTATTTATATTATTTTTCCTTACAATAATGAATGCATCTCAAGTTGTTATATTTCACAGTGTTCAATAGCCAAGGCCCAACACGTTACAGCTTTGAAGTCATAATGACATAAACTGGCATTATCCCTGTAAATATAATTATGTGGTAGTCCCGATTTTAGAACAGTCTGCCATTATCGTTTTTATTTTCTCTTTGACGCAATAGTTATTTAAGAAAGAGGCCAAGACTGATGTCTTTGTTCCCGTTTGGTTTACTTTTGTGGGCAATTTCTGGTTCATTGTATCATGGACATAGAGTTCAGCCTGTCCGGATTTCTGCTTTAGGGCATACCTGGCATTTCCTTTCTTTCTGATACACAATGTACGTGGTAAAAGTTTCATGTGTGAAAAAAACAGGTACAAGCAGGGCATGGACCAGAGTTTGATACAGATCTTTGTTTCAATCTTATTCATGATAATGTTAGGTTTTTCATATCTTTTTGTCAGTGAAATCTGTTCTAAGTTGATTAAATAGTGTGTTATAAGCTTCACTACCTTTTTGTTTCTGGTAACATCTAGACCGCACAGCACGCTGGGTCTCCGCCATCGAGGTGTTGGCCGGCTCCATCCTCACTTGGAGCTCAGGCTCTTCTTCAAAACTCATTTCTGTTATTGGCAGAGTTCAGCTCCTGTGATTGTAGGACTGAAGTTCTTATTTCCCTGCTGCCTGCCAACCGGGGGCTGTTTTCAGCTTCTAGAAGCCCTCCTCATTCCTGGTCACCTGACCCCCCAGTCTTCAAGTCAGCAGTGTCATGTGGAGTCCTTCAGCGGCTTCAGATTTCTTTGATTTCTCCTTCTGCCTCAGGAAGATAAGCTCTCTGCTTTTAAGGTCTCCTAGGATTAGTTCAGGCCACGTGGATAAGCTCATTTTAAGGTCAACTGTGCCACATAATGCAGCATAATTATAGGAGTGATATGTCATCATTTGCATAGGTTCTGGGGAGCGGGCAGGACACATTTGAGGGATACTGGATGCATTGTGATGCACCAGGGCTCACTGAGTCTTCATTATAGAAGAAATGCTTTATCAGAAACTCTATTTTTTAGTGCCAAACAGTGTAGCTTCAAATTACATACCACAAATATAGCAGGAAGTGTTTGACTAGGTCTGGACGACTGGGCTGATTGGACTTGAGTCTGACCTTTCACCTGGCAGCTGGTCTTAGGAAACTGCAGGCAGCTATGCCAAATGGTGCAGACCTGCCTCCGAGTCTCCCAACCACGTGCACCGTTCAGTGTGGTGGTCCATGTGCAGCCGTTGCAGCCTGGCTGCCTGAGCGCAGATCTCAGTCTCTCACACCCAGCCAGCGTCAGCAAGTGACGCGGCCGCCCTGTATCTCTCTCCTGGTTGAGCGACTGAATCAGACCAACCCTGAAGGCCGCAGCCTTTGGTCTTTCGCTCATGTGGGGCTGCAAATCCTCTTTAAGGTTTCAACCAGTTTGAGCTGAATTTCATGTCACTTGGAACGAAACATATCCTAACCAATGTTGGCTATGATATTAGCTTTTATTAAAAACTGAATTATTATAGTATCTGTCTATGATAGTTCAGGTACTATATAATTACAATCACTGCGAATTACTTCTGATAGCTGAGGCTTGCCTTCTGGCCTGGGAAGGCCTGGGAGGGTAGCCGGTCCTGATGATTTCTGTCCACCATATAAGATAAAGGCTGCAGGCATCCCCTTGGTGGGTAAAACAAGAATAAGTCCTTCCCCTGAAAGAGACCCCCAAGGTGGCTCTGAGGGTGTCAAAGCCTCCGAGGCCACCATGTGTGTCATGTCTTGGCACACTTTTATCCGCTAAACTGTACACCCCTCAACTCAGTGATGCAGCTCATTTTGAAAGTCTTCCTTTACAGAGACGCCAAAAGTAAAGGATGAAATCCCTGGATACCACTTCCAGGATGTCATTCCTGCTAAGCAGCTTGGTGTAGAGCTTTCCAGCATTTTGAGGCACACACACACCCTTAGGAAACGCGGATGATTTGTGGTACAATAACACAAGCTACAGATTTCACAGAACCAGCCCAAACCGTCCCTCCCCTCCTCTCATCACGATACCCTACGCGGTCAGCTGGGGGCGCTCCCTACCCTCTGCTGGGGTCGCACAGCACCGGGGATTCCTCCCGCCGCCCGCCCCGCCCCGCCCGCTTGCCGCCCGGAGGGTGAGCGCACCGCCCCCTGCGACCCCGCGGCCGGGCATAGGGGCCTGCTGGTGGGTCCGGGAGGAACGCTGTGCTGGGGCGCGGACCCCTCGGCGCCGGACTCCCTCCCACCTTCTGTACAAACCCCGGATTCCACCGGATTCCACCACCACCCCCGCCCCACGACGGCAAAGCGTGATTGTCCCCACCAGCCCAACGCGGTTCAGCAATGGCCTCTGGGTCGCGGGCCGGGCCGACCGCTTTTGACGCTCGCGCTCTCCAGCCCCTCACTGCCCGACGATTTCAAGCTCCTGCAGGCAGCTGCCCAGCCGCGGGGCGGGGGCAGGAATCCAGGCATTCCTGTTAGATTCGGCAGCACCAGAGGAAAACAAAGCGCGAGATTCCTCATAGGTCACCTGCTGCCCTGCAGGGTCAGCAAATCCCCGCCCTGGCCGGTAGCTCCCGCCGGAGCGCTCGCCCGAGTCACGAAGGGCAGTTCCTTAAAATCCCTAGACTCGCGCCCAGCCTCGAGGTTCGGATGTATCCCGCCCGGCTGCAGGCATTTTTCAAAGCTCCCTGGGAGGCTTTTCAGAAGAGCGGCGGGGCTCGTGTCCACCCGGGAAGGACTGAGCTCTACGCCTAGGCTCACATCTAGGTGGAAGGTGTAACATCTACTGTAAGACCAATTTTTTCATTAGAAATACATGCAAAAACTGCATTCCACCCCATGGTTGTGTCTGTGTTCATTTTAATATAGAAGCAATTGTTAAAAGATGATTTTCAGAAAAAAATGCGTAATTCGTACAGATACAAGAACAAGCACAAGGTAAAGATTTATTTTGTTTGCATGAGAGTAAGCAGATGCTATAACCGGTTCACAGATGTCAAAAAAGCTCACGTTTATATGGAGTGAAGGAATTGAATTGCAAACGAAGGTAAAACTGGTTTTTCCACTAGGGGGAGAGGAGTCAATGGAAGTTCTACACAAGAGTTTGCACAGCCATCCGTGCTCAAATGCAGGGGACTGGGCTGGAGCAGTTTGGGGGTTGTGTCTTAAACAGTGCATAGTGTTTCACTGAAGCAGAAAAGTCTTCCCTCACAATATTTTAGGTAACTGTCAGGAAGAAAATGTTTCCCGTGGTGCTAGGTCGGCCGGGCTCCCTGAAATACCAAAATACTAAATTCCCAATCACTCATCAGACATAGCGTTTTTCTACTGGCAAGAACCGCAAATGCACTTGCAAGTCCCTGAGGAGAAAGGGAGCGGCTGAGGCTCTTGGGAGACGGTAGAGCGAATGGTCAGAAGAGCAGACCCGAGTTTAGGCCATGCCCTGTCACACATTAGCTGCGGGACCCTTCTCCTGGGAGCCTCCACTTCACTTGACGGTGAAGTGTGTGCTGGGGTTCCAGAAGCTTCCCTCCTTGCTCCTCCACTTAGGTTGACCGAGTAAGTCAAGTCGGATCACCGAGCTCGTGGGTCATGACGAGGGAAGTGATTTTGCATTCAGAGCCCAGGGCCTTTGGGGAGGAGAGGGCTTGAGACCCATCCACCCCTCATCCTGCTGCTCAGGATCAAGTTGGGGACTAAAATTTACTATTAGGAGAGGCCTGGCAGGCTGCTTCCCAGGGACAGAAAGCCCGAGGAGTTTGTGGTACCCCCCAGCGACTGTGTAACTGACTGGGAGCCCCAGAACCCAGCACCCCTCGCTCGCCGCTGCTCTTTGGGAGGATGGCTGTGCTTGTGAGGGTGATTAAGAGAAGAGTGACCTTATGTCTAAAGCGTGGGCCTGCCTACTGCCTGTACCCCAAAGGTACCACCGCCTAAGAATTCATAGGACAGTGTTCAGCAGCGCCACCGTGTGGAGGGAGAGGCAGCCGCTGACGAGGACGTCTCGACTCTCCAGAGAATGCTCCTTTTGGACTAAGATCTTGAGCAGACCTTCCTTACAGGAGCGGGCTCCAAGAGGAGAGAAAGATTTTGTAGGGAGGATAAAAAATTTTCCCTCTACCCTTCTAGGTTCTTGGTGGTTGAGACCACCCCCCTAATAAACACAGATTAGCAAAAGAAAAACAGATGCTTAATAACATGTATACCCCCTGTATGCTTGGGAGAGACCCAGGAAAACTCAGTGAAACTGCTGAATAGCCCAAGTTACCGCCTTAAATACCATCGTCGGCTAAAGACTAAAGACATATGGTGGGGTGGGGGAGGGGGAAGTCAGTATGGGGGGCACCCGGGACAAGCACACTGATAAAGGGGAAGGGTGTCGTGCTGATGGAAGTTGCTGCCTTCTCTACCGACAAGTTTCTTGTGATTTAGAACCACCCTCTTCTTCCTGGCACAGCAGGCAGACACAAATGGTGAGTTCCCTTCTAAGCATAAATGTTCTCTACACAAGGGTAACCTTCGCTCGGTTTTCAGAGATTCTCCCGTGTCTCCTGTTTCTTAAGAATAAACAGCTCAAGATAATCCTTATGTCAGAGGCATACTTTCGGCTGCCATATTTTGCTTTGATTTTCTGCCAACAGGGATACAGGAGGGACTTGGGGACTCAAGCAATCAATTAGAAAAATTAAAAAGTAACCATATTTTTATCCTGGGTTAGGGTCATACCCATTGTACATGTTACATGCCAGGCATATTGAAAGAGCTCCATAAAAGGTAACTGCTATCATTACTAGGAAGCCAGATGCTAAATGCCTGAAAGAACTTCCACAATGACCCTTATGTTTGGGCCCGCACATGATAAGCAAGAAACCTCCGAAAGGCCGGGGCTGTCTTTGGAGGCAGCCAGGTTGCGCTTACAGACACTAAGGGTACCAGAGCCGGCTGAGTGGACGGGCCAGAACCAAGCCAGGAGCTGGCTGGGCTGGAGAAATCTTCTAGACAGGTTGGCTTAGGTAGGCAGTGCCTGGGCAATTCTCCCAGCCACCAGCCTCTTCTTTCATGGAACCCCAGGCCTGCTGAGGATAGAAAAGCTGGGGTATGTGCTGGGAAGGTCTTGGGACTGTGTTTGATGTCCCCAGCCTGATGTTCCTGGGGTCTGGGACTGGCTGCTCCCCATGTCCCAAGTGGGGGACTGGAGGTGAGAACATTTCTGGGGGTCCCATCTCATCTCCTTTTTCCTTGCTCTGGAAGCTGCAATAGCTCCTCAATGCCTTCAGGAAGCACCCCAACTCTAAGCAGGGTATGCCTTTCTCATCCCACCCCAATTCCTTCCATCTTCAGCCCAGTCCACACCAGGCAGCTTTGATGCACTTTGGGCCTGTTGCACGTGTCTCCAGCCTGGACTGTCCCCCCTCATTCCTCTACTGGCAAATGCCCACTCCTTCACACAGGTGCCTGGTCAGGCCACGGCTGAAGTTTGCTCCCCACCCAGTGTGGGAGGCCTGTGACACTGGTCACCTTTGGTGGGCTCCCTGCCCTTCCTTCTGCTGTGCTAATGCGGGTTCCCCATTCCCCCCAGCCCCTCCAGCCGAGGTCTGGGACCCTAGGGTCTGAAGGAGTTTGGGGCGAGGCCACCCCTGGGGCTGGAGCTGAGGAAGTTCCCATGGGAATGTGCTGACTCCATCTAGAGGGCCCGGTCCGCGGGCCCAGGTGGAGAGGCCAGTGAGCCCGGGGAAGGGGTGCGCAGCCAGGGCCCCTGCTCCTTGCCCTCTGTTCTCATGGTCAAATCTGAACACCCCCCTGCAACCCAGAAGCCTGAGAACAGGTCCTGCCTGCCTCCCAGCTGCAGCTCAGGGTGAGGCAGTTCTTTCTGCTTCAGCCTTGGCCTTCCATATGCGCCCCTTTCTCCACCTGCCCATTCACCCTTCAGGTCACAGCTAAACACAACTCTGCCTCTGGACCCCCTCCTGAGCCCTCTGGGCCCCCTCCTGGCCATGGCTGCCCTCCCTACCCTGGAGATAAGCGGCTTAGACCAGGAGTCTTCACACTCCGTTGGCCACTGTTTCAGTGCTTCTTGTCAACCTTATCAATGCTTCCAGGATAACGGAAAGGACACGAGGAAACCCAGCAGGCCCCGCCCACGCCCACCTGGCCCCGCCCACCGCGTCAGCTCCGGCCTTGCTCTGTGGGGGAGTGCGGGTCTCTCCCTCCTCCACCGCGGCCGCACCCAGGCGGCATCTGTCTGGACGCTGGCCCTGTGGTCCCGGCTTTAATCCTGGCCCTCGCCTCCCTCTAAGGCCCTTCAAGGGGCCCCTGTGCACCCACCAGCCAAGAGCGGGAACAAGCTGTGTCTTCAGAAGTCTCCTGCAACCTTGGCCGGAGACAGGCCCTCGGACTGAGGTGGCAACAGGAAGTTTCACGCCAGAAAAAAAACAGTCCCCTTTTATTGAGAAAATAGAGTAGATCCCTCTCAGTCTTTTCCCAAGTGACTCCACCCTGAGATACAAGATGGCATCTTTCACGCATCCCCGAGGACCCCCAAACTTGGGCAAGGTGGCCCAGGAGGGCTCCTCCATCCCTTCCCAGGGCAGATGCTGGACCCCTCAGGCCCTGGAGAAATCGGCAGCAGGTGGGACAGGGTCCCTGAGGGGCTGTGATGGGCATGGGGGGGCCCTGGGGGTAAGAGTGGCCGAGGGAGGTGGTGTCTTACCGGAATGAGGCAAGGGAAGGGAAGAACACCACCAGATTCTGAGGCCGGGCACCTTCTTCTCCGTCCAAATTTGTCATAAATAAAACTTCACAGTAATGAGGGGCATCCCTTTCAGGGCCACACCGGCTGGTTTCAGGTGGGAAGCCAGGCCTTGGTGGGGCTGCAGGAGGGCCCTCGGCTCAGGCTGGCTGGGCAGCACAGCGACTGTGGGGCCGGAGCGCTGCTCTCTGGCCCTGGGTCAGGGCTGGGCTGGGGCTGCTGCTCATCCGGAGGTTCTGAGGATCGCTGAGGTAGGCAGAGCTGGGGTTCCAGATGGGCCAGATGGAGCGGCACAGGGCACAGCCAGAGGGAAGCCCCCTGGGAGCGGAGACTGCGCAGTGACTCCAGGCAGGCCTGTGGGGGGATGCTGAGGGCCTTCTGAGGTTCGTTCTCCCAGAGACCTGGGGGCATGGCGGGGCAGGGGCCTGTGAGCCTGCACAGGGTTGTGCTTCTCTTGAAAGGGCTGCTTGAGCTCGTGGGAAGACGGAGGGATTCATGGGGAGAGAATCTTCTCTATGAAGACTAGAGGGCAGATAGAGCCATCCAGGACCAGGCCCAGCCCAGTACCTGAGCACAGAGCTCCTTCAGGCCACCAGGGCCTCCAACCAGGTCAGAGGGAGCCAGGCAGTGGGTCAGGGTTGGGAGGGCTGCCAGTAGCTGGCAGCTTCGCTCCCCAGATGCCCTGCGGTCTGGGAAGTTCCCTACATTCCTAGGCCTTAGCTCCACTTTCTGGCGTGTCCACACAGGGAAGGGCCCCTTGGGCTAACAGCACCCCACCCCACCCAGGGGCACATAAAATCCAAACCCTCCACCTCCCTGCAATGTCCCAAAGGCTATGCCCCAGCATGGCATTCCAGCTCATGACTTCCAGGCTTGAGAGCACATGTCCTAGCCCATCCTGGTGGCCTAGCGGGGGTCAGAGCACCTGGAGCTTGCGCGAGCAGGTGAGGTTGCCGTGCACCAGCCCCCACATGGCCAGCAGCTCAGCGGGCAGCAGCTTGTGCACAACCAGCATGGAGCGGAAAAAGCAGGGCTCCTTGTTCATGCGGCTGTTGCGGTTCCGCGAGATGCCAAAAGTTTTAAACCCTTCATGGGCCATGGGCTGCACACCCAGCACCTCCAGGCACATGCCCAGGAAGACGTCGTCAATGGGGTAGAGCTCCAGGGTGTCAGAGGTGTGGTGCAGGCGGCGGGCCAGGCTGCCAGCCATAAGGAAGCCTCCTCCACCTGCGTAGGGCGGGTAGCTGGCCTTGCTGTACAGGATGGTGGGGATATAGTATTTGTTATCCTTCTTGCGGATGGGCCGAGCATGCTGCAGGACGTCGCCCACGAACAGGTCTTCCTGTGGCCGCTGATCAGCCAGAAATTCAAGCAGGTTGGTAGGGTTGACAAAGACGTCATCATCACCCTTGAAGATGAAGTGGGCATTGGGGCAGTAGATGTCAAGCCACTTGAGGAAGTGGATCTCCTTGAGGGTCAGGTTGAAGAAGCTGTCCAGAAAGTCCCACTGCAAGATGTCGTTATAGAGGCGGTCCTCATAGGCCAGCAGCTGCTGGTAGTGGGCCCGTTCCTCCTGCTTAGAGGCAGTGCCCAGCAGGAAGAGGGTGCGCACAGCACCGTGCCCCCGGCCCGCAGATTCCTGCTCCCGTCCCCAGGTCTGGCGGATGGCCTCCCGGCGGTCATGCTGTGTGATGACCGACTTGACAACCACCAGCAGATAGACGTCACCAGCACACTTCTCCGGGTGGTTCAGCAGCATGGGGAAGTATCGGCAGTGGCGGTATAACAGAAACTGCCGGAAATGCGGCTCCAGGCCCTGGAACCAGAGCTGGTGAGTCAAGTTGATATTGGCTGAGCAGTTAGTGGTGGTCACATCCCAGGTCTGAGGCCCCCGAGAGACCGTGGGCATGGGGGTGACCACATCCTTTGGGTTCTTCCAGAAGCTGTTGGGGTTCACCAGGTGACCACTGTGTTTCTGGGCCTTTTGTGACCCTGATGTAGGTGATGGGGTCTCTTGCAGAAACTGGCTGGGGGTCAGACTGCGCTGGAATACTGTTACAGCCACAAGCAGAGCCAGGGACAGGCACACACTCTTGTAGATGGTTCTCTTCCTGGGGTGTGGGGCAGGGTGCAGAGGAGAGAGGAAAGGATGAGATCCCTGTGGCTCCCCCCAAATCCCTGTTGCTCAGAAGTGTGGTCCCAGGCTGGCAAGTGGACGCTTGGCAGACTCGAGTGCTGGGGCTTCTGAGCCATCAAGGAGGGTCCTGCTTCCTCTCCCACCCTGACCTCCTTCCTTCAGGACCAGAAGAGCCATACACTACAGAGCTTAAGTATAAGCACCGTGGAGTCAGGCTGCCGAGGGTCAGATCTTGGCTCTGACAACTTACAAGCTAAATGGCTTTGAGGGGATCTCATTCAGACTCTCCAAACCATGATTTTTTTCCTTCCCCCAAATGAAGATAACACAGCTTTGGCGTGCTACATACAGTGCCTGGCATGCAGTGGGTAAGCAGTTGGAAAAATGCTGCAATTCTGCAGCCTGTTCTCCACCACCGGCAGGGCAACCCATTTGCTTTCATTTCCCTCTGCAAACTGGGTGAACCGCTGGGGTGGGGGGCAAAGACGGTACCTGCTCTGCAGCTTGGGAACTTGATAACCTGTGGGGGACATTGAGGACAGGCTCTAACTTGGGACGTGAGAACCCTGTCCGTCCCCCCTCCTCCCCATCCACCTGACCCAACAGAAAAGAACAGCCCTTGTGGTTGACAGGCCTGAAAACAGAGCAGGCATCACCTAGCATGACCAGGGCCCCCTTACCGCTCAGACTGGGCCCCACTCCCTTAACATCCCACTAGGAGAGAAGAAGTCTCTCAGCTCTACTGCCCTGGGATGGGAACACACTTGGACCCCCACTCTTCAGGGACCCTCCTTGACCAGGTAACCCCCACTACATCCATTTCAGAGGCAGAAATTAGAGCTGTTTGCCAGGAGTACAGGCAGGCCTGGGGCTAGGGCCCTGAGCCTCTGGACCCCAGGACCCCTTGCTCAGTTCGCACTCTGGGGGTGCCCGGTCCACTTGCCCTGTTTTCTCCTGCAGAGACACAGTGAGGGCTCCGCGAAGAGGCCAGGCCATAAAAACATGGCCTTGCAGGGCCAGGCCTTGGGGTGATGGCCTCCAAAGCGGGACAGTGCAGGGCTATGGGAAGAGACAGACTCAGTGAGGTGAGACAGGGTCTGTGGAGAAGCCTGGGGTGGCCCCAGGACTGGCTAGTTGAAGGTGCAGACACCCGGGGCTAGTGAAGGCCGAGCCCCACTGAGCGGCCTTTTCCCGTGAGTCCCAAGGTTTCCTGCGTAAGGGGTGTGGGGAAGGCTGGGTGGCTCCAGGTGCTGGGGTGTATGATCCTGAACCCAATCCTCCCAGCGGGTAGAGCGGAGCGCTCCCGCCCTGGGGGTTTCAGTTCAGGACAGGCGATGAGGCCCCTCGCCCAGGCGCATTCCACCTGCGCCGCCCCACTCCGTCGGTAGGAAGAAGTCCCACCGGGGAAGGGAGCAGCGCGGAGAGCGGGAGAGCCGCACGGGAGAGCCGCAGGGGCGGGAGGGCGGGAGGCCAGGGCTCCGAGGGAGGAAGCAGCGCCACGTCGGGACGGGGGTCGCCCGGGATGCAGGAGGCCCTCGGCCTGGGGTACGGGACCCGGCGTGCCGGAGAGACCCTGAGTCCTCAACCTTCGGGGTCCCGGCGTGGGGTCTGGGCGCCCCGGGGCCCGGGCGCGGGGAAGCAGGGGGCCGCCGGGGAGGACCGAGCGCGCGGGGTTCGCGGCCGCCGGCCGGTCGTCCAGGCGCCGCGCACGGCCGCGCATCCCCGGCGGCCGCCGCGCGAGCCCGTCCGTCCCCGGGAAACTGAGGCCGGCCACAGCACACCCAGCGCGGCATCTCCCATCCCCGAGGGCCGCCCCGGGTCCCCGGGGCGCCCCCCCGGCCTCCGGGGGAGGGGAAGCCCGGGTCCCCGCGCCCCCAGCCCAGCCCCCTCCGCCCGGCTGCCCGGCGGGGCCCCCACTCACCATAGAGACATGGCGGCCCGGGCCGGGGCGGCGGAGCGGGGCGCGCGGGTCGCAGCTCTGGGCGCCGCAGCCGGGGGACGGCGGGCGGGGACGCGGACGGGGCGGGCGCGGGCGGAGGCCGGGCCGCGCCCCCGCCGAGGCTTTCCTCTTCCCGGCGGCCGGAGGAGGGGCCGGGAGGGGCCGCGGCGGCCCAGGTGCGTTAACTCCTTCGGCGCCCCCGGCCCTCCAGCCCCTCGGCCGCGGCCCAGCCTTCCGCCCGGCGGCGCGGCGGAAACTACCCATTTCACAGAGACGGAGCCCGAGGCTCAGGGCGCGCGGAGCCGCCCAAAGTCACCCGGCCACTGGCGTCCCACCGTGTGAGTGGCCCAATCGGGACTTCGGAGCCGACGAGGGTCCCCCCGCCCCCGGGGAGGAAGAGGGACGGGAGAAAGCAAACCCTGGGAGAAGAGGTCGGGCGGAGGCTGGGCTGCCCGGGTCAGGACCACGGCCCAGGCGCCCGCTCCCCAGGCAGCGGCTCCCCCGCCTCCGGGGTCCCTCCCCCGGCCTCGGAGATCTCCCCTCACCACCTAGGAAAAGCAGGCCCACCTGCCTAGACCCAACCCCCTCTCTTTGCGTCCATCAGCAACTACTACTCACAAAACCCTTTGTGTCCACGGCCTCTGTTAATCTGCTTGTGTGTGTGCCAGCCCTAGCCACTGGTAGGGAGTGGGCTGCAGGGAGACCCAGCCCGCAGAGCAGTAGTGGTGTTCTTGGCCCAGCGGGGTCTGGAGTGACGGTTGTTCCCCATCCAGGGGACTTCCAGAAACCCCTAACCGATTAAAAACCTCAGCCATTGCCCAGATGTCTGTTGTACCATGTTGAAATCCCATTGCTGAGCTTACAGCAGAACCTCAAAACCGCCCACAAAATCCAAAGAGCTCAATAAATAGGAACTAACATTCATCAAGCATTTACAATATACTGAGCAGGATTCTAGGCCCACACATGAGTGACACTTAATCCTAGAGGTGTGTACTATTATCACTCCCACTTTGCAAAGGAGGAAATGGAGGTGTCAAGAGGGAAAGCCCAGTGGGCCAAGTCTTACAGTTAGTGAGCAAACCCAGGAGGCTCCTAGCTCCTGAGGCAGGCCCTGAGCCCCCTTCCCAGGGATAGCAGTGCTGGGAGTTACTTTCTAGCCAAAGGGCTTGCAGGGAGGCCCAGAGGCCCCCAGGAGCAGCCAGACAGAGGCCGGTTGTAGGAAGCTCTTGCCACAGGGTGCCTCAGGCCCCTGGGGGGTGAGGAGCCCGTTCAGCCCTATCCTTAAGGCTCAAGGCCCCTTGGAGGGGGAGGAAAAACCCAAGGGGCAATAGAATTTTCCAGGATGTTGCAAGCTCCAATCAGGGCATGTGAGGGGCCTTCCGGGCAGAATTCCAGAGGAGGACCCTGGGGCCAGTGCCTTTGGGATGGCCATTCCCAAGAACCAAGCAGGAGAAAGGTCTAAGCCCAAAGCCCCCTTGGCTTGGCTGCCTGCTGTGAGAGCCACCCCCACCCTGCTGGCCGCCCATCTCCCAGGACACTGCACGCTTCACTTCATTGCCCAGGCTTCTGGGTTCTCCCCCTTCGCCCTGCAAGTGTGTCCTTGAAGGAGGGTTAGGACTGGCCTGGCCGAGAGCAGCACACCCTGCTTTGGCGCGACCTCTCACCTGGAAGCTGCGAGATCTCAGGTACCTGGTAAGGGGCACACACAGTTGTGCTCTGAGAACGGGTTTTGAGCCCAGGATTGGCCGCTAGAGGGGTTGGTCAGGGCTCTGCACTTCCTGTCACTAGGAGCAGGTGGCTTATCCCCTTGAGACCTCAGTTTCCTGGCAGCACAGGGTTATGTGAGATGACGCATGTGAAGCACGCAGATCAGAGTCTTTCCTGCATGGGGCATCATGACAGGCTGGCTGCTGCTACTATTATTATTGTTAATATTGACCCAACCCACAAGGCCCCAGAACCCACCAGAGCTCCAGGAGGTGGTAATGAGGGGAGCCACCCAAGGCCAGCTGAGTGTTTGCCAGTGGAAGCTGGTGCAGTGAGAGGAACAGGTTGTCATCATGGATTCATTTGATCTGTGCCTAGGTGGAACTCAGACTGGGGAAATGGATGACAATTAAATACTCAGTCCCTGACTGAGGGGTGGGGGTGGGGGATGTGGGAGCCAGGCCAGGCCCTGGTCAGTTTTCACTGCCAGTCTGATAGGCGCCCCTGCAGCTGCTCGGGGCTGTCCCTGTCAGGGAGCGCTCTGGGACTCACTCAGCCTAGCCCACCTCACCCGTCCCAGCCCCTGTGGGCAGAGCCCGAGTGGATTCCTGCTGGTTGTCAGCAAGCCACAGCTGGGGTAGTTGAGCAGGGGCCTCTGAAGACCGGAGGTCAGTGTGCAGATGGAATCTGTCCCTGCCCCTCAGCCCTGGCTGGGGGCAGATGGAAGCTGCAGAACCAGTGGGGTGGGAGAGACTGTCTGTGGCCCTGCGGGGAGAGTGGGGGATGGGGGGAGCCGGTTGGATAGGCAGTGGAGTGTCAAACAGTGGTGGAGATGGGCTAGGTGTCCCTGTCACCGGGCCACCCTCTTCTCCTGAGGTTGACATGCCTGGGCAGAGGAGCCCAGGAACCCTGGCGAGGGGGACCTGCAGGAAGCCCTCCTCCCCTCTCCCTCTGCCTCGTCCCCAGCCTGCTTCGCACCTTACTTCTCCTTCCCACCTTTCCCTCTCCCACCTCCTGTACTTGCCCCCCTGTTCCTCTCCCATTTCCCTTTTCCATCCCTTTTCCCAAGTTCTTGACATCAGCCCCCACCGCCCCTCCAGAATTGCCTGGAATCCAGCCCCTGCCGGCTGGTTCTGCCAAGTGCAGTGGAGACATTCTCCTGCAGGGCCTTGGGGTGGCAGGGGGAGAGATTTGACAGGCCAGAGGTTGCCCAGGGTCAGCCTTTGACTATACACGGGGCCGTCGTGGGCCCAGAGAGCCAGCAGAGGTGTGAGGAGCCCTGGATCCCTGGGAGAGAGAATGCCATCTGTAGAGGCCAGTGCCAAGGGCCCGGCAGGAGCTGTGGGTGGAGAGCTGCCCTGGCCCATAACTGCTTCAGCCCAGCAATGTGATGTTTGTGTGAGACCATTTTAGGGTGTAAAGGTCCTGAGCAGACATCTACACTCCAGGGTCAGCCGCGGCTAGTGCTCCAAGTGTGGCCATCTACACTTGCACTAGAGGGTCTGTTAATTAGCATTGGAGTGTCAGAATTCATCACTCTTTATTGAAGAGAGTCACTGAAAATATGTGCCTGGCACAAAATACTGCACAGGAGCCTCTGCCTGTGCCTGAATGAGCTCAGCAACCCAGCAGAGCAGTGCCCCAGGGCCAGAACTTTCTCTAAGTGGTCCTGAATCCTTCCACACAATAATATGACTGGAAAGATAGCCAGTTTTGGTCGACATGTCCTTGAATTCACTGAGAGAGAAGCTTTCCTGCAAAGGAAGGGGACTGGGGCTCCCCTGACCTCCTGGGCAGTGGTGGAGGTCTGCTTAGAGGGGCAGGGAAGACAGGGTTTTCAAAGCATGGGTGGGAGTCTGGGAAGTCCTCTTGCCCAAGGGAAGATTGGCCAAAGAGAAGCCTAGATCGTGAGTGCCTGAGAGAAGATGGGAGGAAGTTACATGGGCCTCCTTGCAGGGTTCCAAGTGAGCAACATAGTGGACAATGTCCTCTTGCTAGGGACCCCGAGATGCTCATCTGTGGTCAAATCCTGATGGAGCCAAGATTGACCCAACAACCCAGAAGGCAGCATTACCATAACCAGTGAAGCTGTGGTATCATCGTAATTCCAGGGCCTACCTGCAGAGAATCCTGTGGAACATGGAAAATTGTATTTTTCCAGTTTCCCCTGTGATTCTCATGTATAGGCAGGTTTGGGAACCGCTGGCAATGGCCCTCCATTCCAGCTTTCTTGGTCAGCTGTGGGCCAGGGGCAGCAGCAGGACCCATCCCCCTGTGAGCCTGGGGAGTTGGCCGGCAGACTGGGTGGCGGCTATGGAGGGAAGTGGGTGGAGGGGGGAGAGCTGAGTTCACTTTTCCCAGGGAAGCAGGTGGTAGTTGAGGAGGTAGAGGTGGGGTTAGGAGCTTGAGAAGAGTGGCAAAGGGTGGCCACCGCCTCTGCATGGGATGTGAGAAAGCCAGGGAGGGACAGCAAGGGGTGTTAAGGGCCAGGCAAGAGGGTTCTGGGCCTGTGTCTGAGGCAGGGACTGCCTAGGGTTCCTCTAGGTACAAGTGACAGAAATTCAACTCAAAATAGCTCAAGCAAAAGGACTTCATTTGCTTGTATGATGGGAAACCCCTCTCTCCCATTCTCTCCCCACAACTCGGCCCCCGGACAGTCCGCCTGTCTCCAGTTTCTCGCTTACATCTGCTGGCTCCCTCCATGAGGTTTAGGAGAAGCGCAGGTTTGCTGATGGCCACAGGCGTTTATCACCCTGTCTTGAGGAACTCAGAGGAAAGAGTATTTTTTTCTGTCAACTTCCAGATCTAAAATTCAGGGGAAGGACTTCCTTCATTGGTCTTGCTTCAGTCGTGTGCCCAAAACTGGGCCACCAATCATGTCAAGGGGTGTTAGGGTTTTGCCTGGCCAGGCCTGGGTCATCTGTCCCCTGGTGTTGTGGGGCAGGGCCCTGGCACTCCAGCCCCACAGGGACAAACTGGAGGCAGACAACCTCTGCTTGTGCCAAGCCCCTGCTGACGGTCAAGCCACCCTCCAAAACAAACCTCCAAGACTAGAGACCCAGAGGAAAAAGAAGGAGGTGGTGGCTGTGTGGGAAATGTCTGCACTTGATTTCCTGTCAAGTCCTTTCCTGGGGGAGGGGCCACAGGCCGGCCAGCCAGGGCGGCCAGAGCCCCTTCAGAGGTGGCTGCTCTCTGCTCCCTCCTGTGCCTGGGTGCCTGTGGCCGGTCTGGGGGCAGCTGAGGCCACCTGTGGCTCTGTGGGAGTGGGGGCCAGTTGGTGAGGGGAGAGCTGGGCAGCTGGAAGAGAAGCCAAGAGGTCAGAAAGGCCCAGGCAGCAGGGT